GACCTACCGTGCCAGGGCTTTTTTTTGGTTAATTTAGGACATACATAATCCAGGACCACAGGATCGAATGGGGAATCAAACCTAAGGGGGGTTGAAGGAAGTAAATCATCAGCTTTACTTTACTTTAAATAACATTCTCAACATGAAAAATTAAATTACCCCAAGTGTGATAATTAATTCGATTTTTTGCATTTTTGGTACTTAGATGATTTTTCTCGATAATTTGGCAACGTAGATAAAAGTCATACTGGACATTACGAATTCATTTTTCGCGTTCTTTTCAAAAACGCACTTGATTTTGAGGACAAAGGAAGCTTTGCATGCAAAACATTGAAAAAAACCTTTTAAATTGAAAAAAATGGGTAAAAATGGCAACTATGGTCCTTAAAATCCTTCAAAACACATCGGAGATGGATCGGAGATCTGATAAATGGGAATATTTAACATGGGTTTGAACTGGAAAAAGTGCAGAAAAAGCAACTTATCTGGCAACAGTGGAGTCTGGGAGGGACAAGAGGCTGCCTTCCTGGGAAAACCCATGATTTAGCCGGAAGTCATTAATAAAACAAATTGGTTCCGTTTGAGGCATCAAATGTATACCAGGGAAAGCTAATTTAAAATAATAATTGCAAATGGACACAGATGCTACAAAAAAGAAAAAAATGAAAGGGAAAGGAAATGAAATGAGGATAGAATTACTCTGCAATCAGAGAGAATAAAAAAAAACCTTCAGAGAAATTTATATGCAATGAAAGTATTAGCAAAAAACACAAGTGGGCTCTCAGCGATTCGGAACTCGAATTACACTATCATTGAGCAGTTTTTAGACTCCGACGCCACCGATAATCTACTTAGGAAGTAAAGATGAACTTATGCCCCCTCAGCGAGTCAAATTGCAGAAGAAGAGCCACAGATTGTCACTTTTCTCCACCCAATGGGACTGACGTCCCCGTCAAATGCGTTTTTGAAGATATGATCGATCCCCATCATCGCTTCATCTCCATATATTTATTAATGTGCAAATGAAGGCACGCTCCGATAACAAGGTTCTGTGACAAAATATTTTTGTCTTGAGAGACTCCAAAATGTATATATCCTAGTGATCAAATGTCCAACTACTCAGAAAAATGGCGAGCGAGCCGAAAGCCACTCACGTAGCGAGTAATCGGGGGTCCAGGGGGTGCACCTCTTGGTTAGCCGTGAAGGACGCGCAAAGCGCGTTTAGAATGGCTAGTATATTTATAAAACAGGATGGATAGGGATAAAATACACTAGATAGGTATAAAAGTAAATATGTCCCATCCTTCAATATATGGATTTCAGTTTATCTTTCTTCGATATATCGTTCGAAATTAAACAGGATCGACATGGATGAAACGGGATGTATATTCATTAACCGGGATGAAAGGGAGGATATAGCTCTTTGTTTATCGATCTTTGATACATCGTTTGATATAAAGCAGAATAGATAGGGATAAAACGGGATTGTATTTTAAGAAAAGGGCTATAATTAGTGTGAAATGGGATTGATAAGGATTAAAAAGGATAGATAGGGATCAAATGGGGTATTCTTCATCGATCTTTGATATATGGTTCGATGTAAAGCAGGATAGACAAGGATAAAACTGGATGTATTAATATTAACCGGGATAAAATGTTGGAATTTTTAGAAAAGGGCAATAATTAGTTTGACACGGGATTGATAAGAATTAAACAGGATAGATAGGGATAAAATAGGGTATTTTTCATCGATCCTCGATATACTGTTCGATATAAAGCAGGATAGACAAGGGTAAAACTGGATGTATTGATATTAACCGGGATAAAATAAAGGAATTTTAAGAAAAGGGCAATAATTAGTGTGAAACGGGATGGATAAGGATTCAACAGGATAGGTAGGGATAAAATAGGGTACTGTTTATTAATCTTCGATATATCGTTCAATATAAAGCAGGACAGAAGGGATAGAACGGGATGTATTGATTTTAACTGGGATGAAATGCAGGAATTTTAAGAAAAGAACAATAATCAGTATGAAATGGGATGGATAAGGATTAAACTGGATACATATGTCTGAAATAGGATATTTCTTATCGATTTTCGATACAACATTCCATATAAAACGGGATGGACAGGGATAAAATGGGATGTATTGATATTAACCGGGTTAAATGATGGAATTTTGAGGAAAGGGAAATAATCTTCTTAGCAACCAAGGAGCCCAACCCCTCTGGACTGCCTTACCTAGCACCCAAGGAGCTGAACCACCAGGGGGCTGAAGAACTTCCCACAACCAAACACTTTGGGGGCTTCACACCAAACACAATATCAAACTCACCAAACACAGGAAACACATAAACACATAGAACACACAAAACACTCCAAACAGACCGAACACATCAAACATACCAAACATATCAAACTCACCAAACACATGGAACAATCTGTGTCCATTTACAATTAATATTTTAAAATAGCTTTGAAAGTTTTTGACATTTCGGAAATGCAATGCGAAAGAGTCATTTTTGTCAAACCAAAAACCAACAGGACCACGAGTTTAATTCGAATCCAACCGTAAACGTCCGTAATACCAAGTTTCCGCCATTTTCCAGATGCAATAGGATCGATAGAGATAAACGGCATTCATCCCGTTTAATCTAGGTTCATCCTAATTCAGTTACATTCAACCTTGCAGTAACAATTGATTACATTTTTTGATTATTTTAATTTTTTTATTTTGATTATTTTGATGATTTTAAATAGATTAAATTTCGAATGAATTAAATTTGTGGAAGTATGTGTCATTAATATAACAAACTAGGGGGCTACGCGGCCCAACCCCCTTGAAGGCGCTCCACGCCGTCAATGGGCCGCTTTGCGGCCCTATTTATACCCTTCTATCAATCTTGATTTTATTTTTTCCCGAAAAAATTACGATATGAGGTATACTTTACTTTTAGAATAAATAATTTTTGTTTTTGATGAATAAAAAAAAAAAAATTTGAAGTCAAAATAACGCGTTTTGCAATGACTGATTAATGAAACATTGCAGTAAAACAACGATTTATGATAATCAGGTCATATTTCAAAGTAGCTAAGGAGTCAGGAATCAAACCCACGTCTTGAAAAACGTAGGAATATCCGACGTCTTAGTCGACTCGGCCACCGCTCATCTTATAATGCCGAAAGCGAATCTTGTGTTCATAAGTAGAGCTGATGCGCAAGCTACTCAGCCACTGCACAGCCTCCTCGGCCACTGCGCATCCTCCTGCGCATAGCGACAGCAGTTCCGGAGCAAACAGTAAATTCGCTCAGTTTTATAACGTGATTGTAAAAAAACCTGGGTCCTATTTCCAAAATCTGAATAGAGCGGACTCATCTAGGGCCAATTACCTGTCGATAACAGCAAAAATCATGGAATTCGGCTTGGTAGAACGCTCAAACGAACTATGACAAAAAGTATAAATTTACATTGTTTAAATGGGAGAATTGGCAACTTTACCACGTGATATAAAAAAACCTGGACCATATTTTGAAAATCTGAAAAGAGTTGGCTTATTTAGAGACAATTGCCCGTCGATGGTCGCAAAAATCATGAAAATCGGCCCGGTAGAACGCTGGAACTAAGCGTTACCAGTTACGCAAAATTAGGAGGTCTCGGAGCTTATATATATGATATGCACATACTTTCTCAAATTAAATCAATCAAAAACATACATACATCACTAAATTTGGGAAATTATGCAATTACTGAAGGTAAGTTTTTAATTAAATTGATAATGAATTATTTGAATGGATAAACATCTAAAAGAACTTTAGTAGCATTATTGAAAATTACAACATTACACGTTGAAAATTAAAGGAATAGCTAAATTGATGAATAAGAGAGGTAAGTAAGAGCTACCGCGCAAGGCGCGGAGCTGCAATTGATCTGGTTGTACCCGTATTGGACGAAAAAACAATATTTAAAAAAATAAAGGATCAAAAACTAATGGGCCTCGCGACCAGCCTTCAACGATAAACAGCTTTGAAACGAATATAATCATGAATGTATCGACATCGGTACAGCTACCGCGCAAGGCGCGGGTATACAGCTAGTAATCATGGAAATCGACCCGGTAGAACGTTCAAGACTCAAAAATTCAGCTTTAAAATCCAAAACCCATGACCACCGATCCATTTCCGGAAAAAGGGCACAAAACGGAAAATTTTTAAAAAATTCCTCCCACAATACTGAAAGAAGTGTAAGTTTTACCAATGATCGTTATTCATTCTAGGGTGTATGAACGTTGATATGAGTGCCCCAGTTCCGATGTATGTCATCATCAATGCTCAGAAAGTAAGAATGAAAACTTCAAATGCATTCTTCTCACAACGCGTTTTTTCGGTATGTGCCCTTTTTCCGGAGAGCTCCTCAATTGGAAACGAAAGTTTATCCTTTTTCAGATATTCATGTAATAAGCGCTTGATATTTACTCTTTGCTCAATTTTAGTCGGATAAAAATAGGGTGAAAAACGAGGGGGGTCAAGAGGATGCATGTACCTGACGATGGAGGAGGCACAACTTGGCAGTACACTAAAAATGGGGTGGAGCGCTCAGTTTCCAGAAAGTTTCAATCGAAAACAGTGCAGAGCACTTGTTTCAAGACTGATTCCCAAGGAGATCTTTCTTTTTCTTTCCTGATGTTGGGGGCCGTACATTAATTACGTAAGGCGCCCGGGGGGGGGGGGGTGTTTCAGAGTCAAGAGATGCCTAGTGGCCAAGGTCCAGAGGGCTTAGTCTCTTGGCTAGCTGCTATCTTGTTACTGCTAGACGGCAAGGACGTCCAATCACATCGTTCCAATCCATCTTAATCTAATCCTGTTGTCCACCAGACGAATACATAATTTCAATAATTGGCCTGCTGATGCACATACAAAAGACAACAAATACAGTAAGTACTATGTTGAAGAAGTAAAACCTAGAAAATAAATAGCAACATCATGGATACAACACTCACCGTATGATGGAGGTAGACCTAGAATATTGTCCTGAACTGCTCGCATGGAGGCGGCTCTTGAAAGTACTTCTAAGGGCGACTCACTGGTGATGTCCATGATGAAATACTAAAATAAAATAAAAATCAGTGCTTCATTTAGGTTATTATTCATGAGGAAATGGATATGGCTTGATATCAAATAAGACAAGAAAGGGCGGGGACGATTCTTGTCTTATTTTATATCTATGTCCTTGGGTTGCCATTGTGTACATTTATCTACTTACATGCCTTGATATATGTATGACAGATAGAATTTAGTGGACAAAAAACTTTTTGCTGTTAAAAAAAAAATTGGATTCTTTCAAAATAGGCAAGTGCCATCAGATGCTGTAAAACTTGGTTACACAGGGTGAGCGAAAAGTCCCCGACCCCCCCTCTAACTTTTGAACGAATTGAGCTAGGGAAATGAAACTTTGGGAATGTTCCTATCTTAAAGGGGACCATCTTTTTGGGGGGGGGGGTCAAATTTTTTTTGGGGGGACCTTTTCCCCTCAGGGGGGGACGGGGGCCCCCCAACCTTTTTTTTTTCAAATAGCAACCCCTATCTTGTGATACCTCATTCGAAAGAGCACAAAAAACTAAGAATTTTGGCGCAAACCGTAGATGAATATCTTAATTTTTGATCGAGTTACGATAAGTCAAAGGTCAAATTTGACCTATTTTCAAAAAATCATAACTCCGATTCAAATTATCGTAAAGAAAAAAAAAACGGGAAAATTTACCAAATTGTGTCCGNTCAAATTTAATTACCTTAAATTTCGTTTTTTTTAACTTTTCCCGAAATTTGGGGACTTGCCAACGTAATGTTGAACTGATTTTGACCTTACTGAGATAATGTGGAGGCAAATCCACGGGAAATTGGCTTATTTCGCGGGAAAATTGAAAGACCTTTGAATTGACGTATTTGGGGGTCCGAGCCCCCCCCTTAAAATTAAATCGAAGTGATTTTTGCAATTTTTACTTAAAAGCGGACACAATTTGGTAAATTTTCCCGTTTTATTTTTTTCTTTACGATAATTTGAATCGGAGTTATGATTTTTTGAAAATAGGTCAAATTTGACCTTTGACTTATCATAACTCGGTCAAAAATTAAGATATTCATCTACAGTTTGCGCCAAAATTCTTAGTTTTTTGTGCTCTTTCGAATGAGGTATCACAAGATAGGGGTTGCTATTTGAAAAAAAAAGGTTGGGGGGCCCCCGTCCCCCCCTGAGGGGAAAAGGTCCCCCCAAAAAAAATTTGACCCCCCCCCAAAAGATGGTCCCCTTTAAGATAGGAACATTCCCAAAGTTTCATTTCCCTAGCTCAATTCGTTCAAAAGTTAGAGGGGGGGGGGGTCGAGGACTTTTCGCTCACCCTGTAGGTTAATAGTTCAGAGCATCAAGAAAAACGGTGCGCTTTGGCAGTATAAAAAAATAAAACGAATTTGATAAGGTAATTATTGAATGGACCACTAGACAAGGTACGAATTTCAGCATTCTGATACATGTTTCTTAACCAAAATGTCACGTAAACCACGATGTGCACAACGAAAATTACTGAAGTCGACTCCTTACGAAGATAATTAATGATTCTTGATGCGTGAATTTAAACCACCCGCTCACGAAAACTCAATGCTCTACGTGATTCACATCGACGGCTAAATGTTATCATGACAGTCTGTGCGTGATGAAAATCTGGCAACCTCAATCTTGACGCTTTGGCCCAGCGATAGCAAATTGCTTATAGTTTAAACAACACATGGTGAGAAATGAACATTGCTCGATTGAGAAGCTTGCTGAAGCCGTTGTAGTGCGCGATTTGACTCACGTAGAGCTTTGAGTTTCTTGTGAGCGGGCAGTTCAATTTCCTCGTGACCAATGTGAAATAAAAACGTTAATATCTTCGTTAGGAGTTGGTTACAGTAAGTTTTGTTGCGCGAGTCGTCTTCTACGTGAAATTCTGGCTAGGAAACATGTATCAGATTGCTTAAATTCGTACCTTGTCTAGTGGTCCATTGTCACAAGATAAACAATAACAAAACAGCAATATAATATTCACTCTATTAAATTCACATTATTTTATTATACTGTCTAAGCACACTGTTTTTCCTGATGTTCGGAACCTATAGCAAAGTTTTACAACATCTATCGGGTGTTTCAGACCACCCGTCCACTATCTTTTTCTCGAAAACGGCGGAAAATTGAGCTTCGGGACCAAAACTTTCACTGGGTACATCGATCCCAAAGAATCAAAAGAAAATATTTTCAGCCCCCCAAAAATTGCCCCTTGGTGGTGTTAGGGGGGGGGGTGCCCCCCCCCGTTTCTGGCGATTTTCAAATACGAAGGGTATGTTCTGATTTCTTGAATTTTCTTGACTACGTGATTTCGGAATCTACGGCAAAAAATAAGAACATGTTGATCTTTGCATTTTATCCCTAAACCCCCATTTTTTAGAGTTGTGGGGCATTTTTGGGGCTATTTTCGATTCGATGCTGCAAGCGGCCAAATTATTCAAATTTCAAAATCTAAAAGTCTCCTAAGAGAGAGGGTATTGACCTTTTTATGGATGTACCGTATGACCCCTGTTGCTCCAAAATTTTGGGGGCTACGACCCCCCAAAAATTTTGGTTCTGTGGAGGCCCGTAAGTCGAAAAATTCAAAAGGCAAGGGTATGTTGTGACTTCAGATATGGATTCTACGCGAAAAGTTACATAGAATTGATATGGCGCATGGCCTGTTCGCTTCAAACTTTTTTTGCCCCTTATTTTCTCCAAAAATACACGCCTTCTCATGAAGAAATAGGGTTGTTCAGTAATTTGGAGCAAACAGGCCGTGCGCCATGACAATTCTACGTAACTTTTCACGAAGAATCCATATCTGAAGTCAAAACATACCCTTGCCATTTGAAATTTTCGACTTACGGACCTCCAAAGCCCCAAAATTTTAGGCGGGTCGTGGCCCTTAAAATTTTGAAGCAACAGGGGTCATCTGGCACATCAATAAAAAGGTCATTGACCTCTCCTCTCAGGAGCCTTTTAGATTTTGAATAATCTGGCCGCTTGCAGCATCGAATTGAAAATAGCCTCAAAAATGCCCCGGAACTCAGAAACATGGGGGGTTAGGGATAAAGTGCTAAAATCAACATGCTTTTATTTTTTGCCGTAGATTCCAAATCCAAAGTCAGAACGTACCCTTCGTACTTGAAAATCGCCAGAGACGGGGGGCACCTCCCCCCCCCCCAAACACCCCCAAGGGACAATTTTGGGGGGCTAAAAATATTTTCATTCGATTCTTTGGGGTCGATTTACTCCTAAAAGTTAGGATCCCAAAGCTAAATTTTCCGCCGTTTTCGAGAAAAAGATAATGGACGGGTGGTCTGAAACACTCGGTATAATGCCTCCAGAATGATAAATTTTCCGTTTTCTATTCTTTATTAAGCCATGGTCAAGTCAATAATCCGTATCTCTCATGTTGAATCTGGCAGGAGCCCCGGAGAATAACTCTGGTAAGTAGATAAAGTTAAAGCTTGTCTCAATATCATGGGAATAACCCAGCCCGATCATTACTGCGCCCGAAAGAGACAGAGGCATTTACGGTGATTTGATGGGGAAAGGATTGTGTGTCAGAATGACATGCGATATATTATACCTACTAGCTTTGTTGTTACAGCAATTTAAAATCTTGTTGAATTTTGGGATCGCATGTCTGTTGTCTTGGGAATGAAGAACTTGGTGGCCAAAAACCAAGTCAGTGTTAATAAAGGCCGGGGTTATTTAAAGGAAAAATATTACAAGTGATACTAGTATCAAAATTTCAGTCAAATTCGAAATTTATCCTTATAAAACCCTGTCTTCAATATGCTGAATATGTTAATCAAAGGGACGTAGGCAAAATCTACACCCCCCTCCACCGCATGGGTTTTGACCAATTTTCAATATGTTTCTCATTGGAATATTTTTCGACTTTTTAGTTACCCTCCTTCGGAGAATGTTAGATTTATTCTTTCCGTGCTTTTCATTTTTGGCCATGAAAATGGCTTCTGATGAATTTCAGGAAGCCTAAAGATCCATTGTTGCCATTTTTTGGGGTTATTGTCGACGGAAACCTGAAATCGTGTATATTTTTGGAAATAACGTGAAAAAGTACATCGATAATCATCTTTGTAACTTTTTATCAAGTTGCCAATTTTTTCGAGGAAAATCGTCCTATAGTACCAAAAATTGAATTAATTACCCCGTCGGAGGTTCTAAGAGGTGAATAATGACTTTCATGGAAATTGTGGGACACTGCCCTTGAAGTCTCTATTCTTGGGTATCTGGCCTGTGAGAGGCACCTGAGAGACTATCTGGAGTTGCTAACGTACCAATCCTAAAGTCACTAGCGTAAGTCGATTATGTAATCCTTAGGTCACTGACATAATCCGTAAGTGGCTAACATAATCCTAAAGTTGCTGACTTAATCCTGAAGTCCTATAGTCGCTAACATAAACCTAAACCTAACCTGACCTACCTAGGTACCATAACACGTTACAAAGAATTGATATCTTGCTAAATAGAAACTGAGATCAAAACTGATGGCAGGGCTGCATTATGCAGTCTTAAAGGAAGATGAATTCTTCCACACAGTTGTTAAGCACAGACATACTTTTGTCACTGCGGATATGACCCTTACAAATAACATTGAATCTAACAGGCAACCTCTTCGTTGCCGCCTAGCATGAGGAACCCTGTCAAAACGGCCCCGTGGGTTCCCATACGGATATCATGGGGACCAATGGGAACCCACAGGGTATTTAATGGAAACCAATTGGAGCCCACAGGGATTTCATGGGGACCAATGGGAACCATGTGATCCAACCAGTGACCAAAAAGATCCCTCTGGGCAGACCAAGAGGGGCAATACGAATTACAAAGGGCACTTTGTCCAATTTTCAAATCCACCGCTCTCCTCCTCGTACCCTCCTAAAACGAAAGCTAAGGCAACCCTAGACTCCTCTTAAGTTCCTTATGTAAGTTATGGACGGCAAGAAGAATATTCTTGATCTACTTAGTTGAAAAACTAAAATGACACCAACATTTTTATAAA